AGAATGAAAACCAAAACTATAACATTTTCCACATCCTTCAAGGGGTCAAAGCTGACAAGTGCAAGATAATGTTAATAAGAAATATATTTACGGTATGTGCTTCATAGAAAAAGCAAACGGAAATATGTGAAGCATTGCTTCACATTCTATATGGCAGGTGTCCTCGTTCACCTTAAGAGACACATTCATTAGTGAGATAGTCAAAACAACTGTGCTTAGGCTAAAACAAACTCTATCAAACATATCTTTATGGAAATACATGCCGAATGAATGAATTCAGAGTACATCAGTTACATTAGTTATTAGGGTTAAATTATTACGTTCAGATATAAAAATCAAGGAAAAAAGATTAGAAAAACTTTTAGTCAACAGTGAAAAAGGCAGTCTCCATAATCTTCTTTTACATCCATGCCTTCCAGTTTAAAGACCAGGTGATGTGTGGCCTTGAGAATTGAAACTGATTAGGACAAAAAGATCCTTCTGTGAGGAATCTAGAGGTTCACATCACTCTTGGTCCTTACAGGTCCACAGTGCTACAGATATACCCTTGGTGTGGTATCATACAGTGTAAAAAAGAAAAAAAAAAAGTCAGATGGCAGACAGGCCTCGAAGTTAGTCAAGTTCCCCAGGCTCTATCGCAGTCTCTGCACTGTTTGAAATGCCAGTAACGCCCTCTGTTGACAAGTCTGGTGAATTACTGGAAGAGGGGATCTGCTTGTCACTGCTTAAGTCATCTCCATCGCTGCTGTTTCCTTCCCCACTGTCCAGCTCAAAACTTTCCTCTGATGGAACAGGCTGCTCAGATTCGTCGACAGTGCTATCGCTCTTCAGACTGTGGTCAGCCGTATCCTCAGATGAGTCTTCTTCCACCTCAGAGGGTCCTGATTGTGTGCTTTTTGGCTCTGGAAGCAAAGTAGAAGGTATTTTAACATGATGTTTTAAGTGACATTCTGCGGCAACTAACTTGTAGGCTATCCAGCTGAATATGTCAATTTAAAGACTAGTGCAATAATACTTTAATATGGAAAGACACATCAATGCACTTTTATCAGAAGCTAAGAAGGTATAAGGTGAGAGATTTTCACAAAACTATTCAGAACATTTGCCTGTTTGAAAGGTACAGAAATCTTGCTTTAACTTTAGGCTAACTAGGTTTTAGTCAGTTTGCATTGATGTTCTACTACAGAAAAATAACATCTGCCAAGAGATCTGTACTAAAAAGATCTATGTTGTCTTTTTTGCAACACGTATAAGCTCCTGTGTATTTGGACTTATAAGAATGCAACTATTATGAAGACACTATCAATTACTGTAGTGTCAGAAGTTATAAAATAGCCTAAATAAGGATCATGAACACATACCATGATTGTCCGATACACTAGGTGTGTCACAAGATGTTCCACTTTTGTATTCTTGACCACAGGAGTGTTTTGAAGACTCTGGTGTCTCTGGCGAGCTCTCTGGCGAGCTCTCTGGCCCTTGATGGCAAGACGACTCATTTTTTTCATTTGTTGTTTCATTCTCCTCCGTTTCATCAAATTTCAGTCTCTTCACCTCTTGCTTATCACCATCAGAATCCTCTTCTTCTGGGTGTTTATTCTTTATCCCACTATTTGGCGTCATCTCACCTTCTGATAGTGAGGTTTCACTGAAACAAACACAGGAAAATCTGTTAAACAGATTATATACTGAAATGCCAGCCGATGAGTTGCTCTTTGTTTTTTTCTTAAGGCAGGATCTTGACAAAACCTAATTATAAACAAGAGGTCAAGAGAGGAGATATAAATAAACTAACAAAAAACTAAAAAGCAGGAATTAGTGTAGTGTAGTAGTGTGTCAAGAGTATAACACACTCTTGATTGGACATATTACCAGATCAAACAATTTACCTTACGCAATGCTCCTCCACCTCCTCTGTGGCTGGCTCTGGTTCTTTGCTGACTGGACAATCAGGGAGCCCGTTGGTGGAAAGTGATGTTGGCAATGACAGCTTTGGTCTGTTAAGTGGTTTTGGTGTGCCTGGCCCATTCACATTTCTACTCCAAAAGAACAAACTATTATTTCTGACAGGCAAGATAGCTTTGTCTTTACTATACTGTGGTTGTCCTTATGTAATTTGGCTTTAAAATTTTCCCACTTGCTAGCAGTTTATGAAGCAATTTCAAATTTGTATAAATCAGTCACTGACATTTTGCACCCACCTGTCTGTATACAGAGAAGAGTTGCCAGGAAACATCACCCCATTCATTCTGTTTATACTGGATGCCCCATTTTTCCTTTAAAGAGGTAGAAAGGCACAAAAAAACCCCAACTGTCTGTTAAATGGCTGCCGTAAGTGTGACTCAATAATAATGCATAAAATCTCAGGGGACCATTACTGTCAACAGAAGCAGCTTGAGAAAAATACAGCACACAGAAGAGCAAAAGAAACAGAATCTTAACAGCCAATGTACTCACTCTGATGTCGGGTAGATACAGCTCACCACCATTACATTCTGAAAAGGAGAAAAAATATAAGCTTTTTTTTCAAGCCATGAAATGTACATTTACATTCTGATATGCTAATATTGTTTATCTTTTTGTTTAAATACTAAGATAATATGGTTTATTGCTCACCTTCTCCAAACCCCTGAGAAACTTGTCTGTTCCTGTGTAGTTTCGCCTAGGGTCCATAAGGAGTTCACACAGACGCTGAATGGTGAATGGGATTCTGTAAAGTTAGAGAAATATTTAGGATCAGGGAACAGATGATGATGAGTATAAGCAAGTAAGAGTTTAATACATGGAGCAAAAAAAGAGAGAGAAAAAAGAATAATCTGCAATTATCTGGTCAGCCACAGTCATAAATGATCACAAGCTATGATGGAAATAATTTAATGAGATTGCTTATTAACATAACACTTCATATAGTTTGTTTTAAAGTGTTAAAAGTGTTCCCAGTGCACACACCAATTGCTCAAATACAGATATTTGAGAGCAAGGTAATGATTTTAGGACCTAAAAAGGCTACTTCCAACTAAATACGTTACTTTGCAAAATATGCACAAAAACTATTCTCACTGAAGGCAGAATCAATAGATCTGCTTCACCAAAGACACTGTTGAATACACCCAGGCTACTAAGCAGGAGACGCTAGCAGTTGGTGATGTGAGGCCCAAAAGTAAACAAATGACTCCATCGAGCATTGCTGGAGCGCTCGCTAGTTGTACTCTATATGATAGTAAGATCACATCCCAGGTAGAAAACATTGTTAATTTTTTATGTCACAATATTGTGCAACCTCCCAAAGAGTTATAATGTTAAGATACCTTGGGTATTGTTAAACACTTCTTTTATTCTTTTAATTAAAATTTCCAGGGGAAAACACTCTGCTGTGTCACTGCTATTGCACTATAAGCCTGCTGTTGGCATCTTGTTTCAGTAGATTCACACTGCAGTCACACTGCCTGCAAGATTCAATTAGCAATTCAGTATTTTTTCACCTATCAGAAATATTATTATTGCAGATTTTCTTAATATATTGTGATATAATGTATGAGGGTATATTGCCCACCCTGTTAGACACAGTGCAGCACACAGTGGGCAGAATAAAATATGAGTAAACCTCGTACATTTTTTATATAAAATGCATGCTCAAACGTTTTTGTGGTTATGTTTTGATTTAACAGACAGCATATAAGAATACCAATAATAAAAACTATTGGTTAAAACTCAGTCACTACTGAAGTTGTGACTAAGGATTTGTTTACCATTGCTCATTATAATCTCAACTCACCCATTGTATCCATCCACTATTTTTAAGATCCTCTTCTTCATTTCTTCAAATGGGACAAACTCTACATTGGGATTATGTGGTCCTCTCTGTTCTGGTGTTGCAGCATGAAAATCATCCATGACTTTTTCCAATTTAAACATGAAGTATGTTTTGAACTGTGACCATGGGATCCTGTAAGACAATGCAAGTTTGCTTTAAACAAATCTGTTAGGGCACTGCTGATTTTATTTGCAGGAAAACTGATGTCAGTATTTCTGTTTGGCAAAAAAAAAAAGTTGTGTAAAATTGTTAAGTGCAGTTGTGTAAAATTTAATGGGTGTAGCCATCGTTCTTGACATGTACCCATGGTACTCACATCGGTTGCCCCGTCTTGGCAATATGACACAAAAATTGCTCCAATGGGGGACAGGTGTCTTTCTTCCCTTTCTTCTCAAAATCTGCAAAAGCCAACATTAAGGAACAAAAAGAAAGTTTAACTTTAATAACTTTAAAACAAGCTAGGAAACAACGCTGATCCCCAAGATAATGAAACAAATGCATGCGGCTGCACTGAACTAAATATAAAAGTTGAATACTTTTAAAATAACCTGAGAAGATAATGTTTGGTTTCAGGCTTCTCCAAATTACAGTGACATCAATTAAAATATTTACTGCTGCATCAAGAGAAAATACATTTATTAAAGAAGACCAAATGTTAAGTGCAACTTCATAAAATCCCCAAACCGTTCTCAGTTAACTATATGGAAAGTTCCCACAAGTTAGTTAGCTAGCATTTTATTGTTAGCAGCATGTTGTGACGTTATCAAGCTAGCTGTTTACATAATCGCTAAGCGTCCGTGGGGAAATAAAAAGGTGTAAAGTGTGTGAAGACGAAATTTTTGCATGCAGAAGACAGCATTAAAATGGTGAAATCATGCAGAGACTAAATTCAGAGACGCTAGATGCTTCTTCTAAACGCCAGTTGTTGTTGATAAGCTAAGTTACGAGATAACGTAGTTAGCAAACATGAGACATTTTGCTCAGGGCATTAAACCAAACATAAAGGAAATAATTAAGCTAATAATAGCTCATTTAACAACTGCAAACATTGCCTTGAAACGCTTCCAACAATGCGTCGATGTCCATTGCTGTGGCCAGTCACAGGCAAGAAATACTTGCAGGTTAGTATCACGTTAGCAGGTAGCAACCCAACAAAGCTGGTGGCAGTGACGACTGCGCATGTCAGCAATTACGTATTCGCATTTGCGGAAGACGCGAAGATCAACAAAGCAGAGCTCTACCCCCGCAAAGAAATAAGTTGCTAAAATTAAAATACTTGTTATTCTCGCCGCAGGGGTATTAATATTTTCATTTACTGGATGTGCAGGATTACGTGACGGAAACTTCTCGATCGCTCTGGCGTGCTGTAGATGCCGCAGGCAGTCAGCGGGGCGTCATCGTTTTGTGTTGTGACGGCGCAAACCGGTGAAGCGACCAATGAGTCAGCAGCTGATCGTGGTTAGTTTTACCTAAGGAGCCTATATATTTACACCGCGGACGACGGCAACAGTGAAAGCAAGACATCTGCTAGTTTTTAATACGTGGTCACTTGGTTTTCAGTGGTAACGATGGCAGTTCCAGTAGCTGCATTACAACTGAGCTCATCATCCAGCCCGAGTCTGCTGGAGCACAACATTCATATCAGTGACAGAAATTTGGGAGGGATTTCTAATAACAATAACAATGGAAATGACACCCTGCCTTTACATTCTCCGTGGACATTCTGGCTCGACAGGTAAGAAACTGTTTAATTTCACCTACTCCCGCTTGTCTTAGCAGTTGCTGTAGTTGTCTGGGTTAACTCTTTTTTGTTGACCTCTTATGGAGAACAAAGAGGGGAAATGAATTTATCAGGCCTCTAGTGTAAGTCAGGCATCGCAGCTTAGATAATATAACAATTGATCTTAACAGCAAAACTCGGATTGTTGTTGTTTTTTCTTTATTTAATCAGAAAAGAACATTGCAGGAGATGCACATACAAAATTCTTGGTCATGGTGATGCAGCTTATCTGCCAACTGTTTCCTGTCTGACCTACATAAACAATTCCTCTTCTTGGAAGGATCTTAAAATAAGCAAAGGGTGTAATTATGACTGGCTGGCTGAATATTAATAACTCTGCGTGATTTCAGATAAGGTCACTGTACGTTCTTATTAGCACAGGTGTTATTCTGTTGCTGCTCATGTGATTGTTATTGTTTAGTGAGTCACTACTTCTGTTTAAGTAAAATTTACTTTTACTTCTCAATAAAGTTTCTAGTTTGACACTAAGTAATCAGAGCCGAACATAAGCAACACTGAGTTACACAAGCCCATCGTCCACTGTGTGTACAAATCAGAGGGTGCAGTGTTCAAACGGGGTCAGTGTTGTTTACTGTTTACTGGCGTTTTTGTCATCTGATCCCCCCCCCCCCAAAAAAACCACTCTACCCCATCCTGTCTGCTCAGAGGACATGATTCGGACACATGTGATTAATATAGCTCAGAAAAACGGTTTATTTAGTTGATCTGAGATATTTACAAGCTTGAATTTAAGAAAGAAAAGATGGTAGAATCTGATTTTCTTTTTTTCGTAATAGATCTCTACCAGGAACAACAGCAGCTGAGTGTGAGTCAAACTTGAAGAAAATCTACACTGTGGAGACTGTCCAGGTACGATGAATACACAAAGTGGTTGTACATTTGTTGGTGGTTGGTGTTTAAAATGTTTGTGATTGATGTCTTTGTATTTAAACGCAATTCATAATTTTATTCGAAGTACTCTCAGCTCTTGACTAAGCGTCTTGTAATAGGAATGCCAGTTTATCACTGGGTGTGTGTAGGTAAGAGTAATGAGGAAGTTATTTTTGGCCACTGCAAAATATCATCAAGGCCAAATGTCTGTACTCTGTGTGTTGGTAAATGGTTCAATAAAATGACCCATTTCCTCTGTTCACCTTTGCTCTGGAGTAGAACTTTTGGAGAGTTTACAACAACATACCTGGGGTCTCCAGCTTGCCACTGAGATGGAGCTATCATCTGATGAGAGGAGAACGAAAACCACTCTGGTGAGCTGAACCTCAAGAACAACATTTGTTTTCACATGATGTCATTTTTATAATTTGTAACGGCACTTCCTTGTTTGCATACAGGGAAGAAGAAAGCAATGCCAAAGGTGGTGTGTGGAAAATGAAAGTACCCAAAGAATGCACTGTAAGTTATACAACACATTTAAGTGTTTATTTTGTACACTATCTACTTTCATGATCATTAAATAAAGCTGTCTTCTCATTTATAGTCTGCTGTGTGGAAGGAGTTGCTTTTGGCTATTATTGGAGAGCAGTTCAGTGATTATTGTGCTGCAGGTAAATTTTTTTTAAATGTTCTTGATTGTGATTATATATTTTTTAAATTATTATTATTATTATTATTATTATTATTATTATTATTATTATTATTATAGTCTGTAAAACACCATTGCTATTATAGCTTGCAAACACTATGAGTCAGAAATGCTTAATAATTATTTTTTATTTTTTACAGAGGATGAAGTAGTTGGAGTCAGCGTTAGTATAAGAGACAGAGAAGATGTCGTTCAGGTCTGGAATGGAAATGCTTCTTGTGTTAACGAGTCAAACATCATAGGAAGGATCAACGAGCTCCTTCCACAAGTACCTTTTAAAGCGGTGTTTTATAAACGTGAGTATTTTCTTCTTTTCTTTGGGTGCGGTATCATCATTTTTAATGACTGAAATTATGAGATGTGATAAGATCTTCTGTTATATTTCAGCCCACGAGGAGCACCATGCTTTCGAAGGAGGTAGATCAAGACATTAGCAATTCTCAAGAACCTTTTTTTGTGTGTGTTTGTTTTGTTTTGCTCATGAACGTGTTTTAATTTTCTTTTTTTGGGGGGGGGGGGGTTTGTGATAATACTGGGAAAAATTTTGGAGCATTTGATTTGCTTCATGTATCATCTTAATTACCTCAATGTAGTTCACGTATAAAGCCTCAAAGTCAAGGAAATTTCACATCTTTTAAGTATTATTGTCATACATGATAAAAAAATATCATTGTTTTAGTCTAAAGTAAAAGCCATTTTAGTTTAAATATGTCTACAGCAGTATTTGTATGTTTAGGTTTTTTTTTTCTTTTCTTTTATTACTGCACAATTTTACAGAATTGTAACCAAAACAGTAACTCATGTAGATTTATTCTAGCTTACTTTGTGTAGTTTACCAAGAACATAAAAAGCTAGGTCTTTGAACTACATCTAATTTTGGGGCAAATTTTAGCAAAGAAAGTATCACAAGCAAACCTTTATATTAACAACACATTACACAGCTTTTCTAGCCAACAATTTTATCTTTTTGTAAATTACAGTAAGAAAATACTGTTGTCTGTTCAGGACAAGATGAATAATTAGTATTCTGTAAGGCGACTATTTGAACATAAATTGCACTTTTTTTTAAAATTTTCTTGTGTAGAATAAGAGGAATGGGGAAAGGAATATGTTAGTGTTACAATAAAGTGACCTTGGTGCACAAGACACCTTGAGTAGATGCTGAGAAATATATGCAATAATTTCTATTCTGTAGGAAATTTGCCGTGTTGTGGTTGTCATTTTTATTTAAGCCTCTGCTCCATATCAAGCACTTTGTACTGTGTATATAAGACGTCTGATAATCCCTCTGGAGTTAACAGCATATGGAGTTGTGGTAACTGAGACCAAATACAATTTGGTTTTGTGTCACCTTTTCTAATCAAGTGCAATGTTTTTATGTATTCTCTTAAGTCTGAAGTACATAAAACTGCCCCCAGGAAATATGACCAATAAATACACAACACACAGAAATCTATCACGAGGGCACAAAGAAGCTGTTGCTGTTTGGAGCCAATTTAAATATTTTTAAGAAGAGACGTTATTGTAGCAGCAATGCCAAAACTGCAGGAAAAAAAGTTCATTAGTGATAATTTATTTCTGTTGAACTAAGGTGGTTTCAGTTTCTCGAAAATTCATTGCCTCTGTTTAAGCATTGTCAAAATTCATGTTAATATGTCTCACCAAAGGCGTCTTTTCAACAGAGCTTTTTTTTTTTTTTAACTGATACTGCAATACTCATACAATTGACTTGATTTCCACAAAATTACCATTGACACCAACAGAAAGACTGCTGCTGTTATTTATCAATCAAGTGTTGACGTATTTGTAATGTGGCTCAGCTTCAGAACTCTGCTAGATGAATATAGCACTTGCCAAAATTGCTTTCTTTAACCCGTAATGTTCCGTTTTTATAGTAACGTTAAGAGCACATACTGTAGGATAAGAGAATAACAATAGCGTTTCCTTGCACATGTACAGCTGACTAGTCATTGCAGATCTCAGACCTTGTAACTGATTGTTGATCTTGGATGGTGCCTTGTGTTCATCAGCAGTTTACATTGTTAAAGTCTTCTGTTTGTATGATTTGTATGATGTTTAAAAGAAATAAAAATGTTATGTTCATAAAAATGTTCAAACTTTCATGTTTTTTCTTTCTTTTTATTAATACTTTTCTGCTATAATTTAATTAAACTGAATATGAAAGAATATACTGAAATTTTAGGTGTTATCATAATAGAAAAACACTGTTGACAGGAGTCCCAGAAAAGGTCATGTTTTAGATGTGTCTTCCCTTCTTCTTCTTGCCAAAGATCACTGCCTGAGCATTTAAGGTACTGTAATATATGCAGAGTAATCCTACACCCTATGGTACAGCGAATGGGGGAAAAATGATAAACTACTTCGTTTTTTTATTTTTTTTATTTTGTAACGTGGCTGTCGGTTTCCTAAGAAACAAAAATCAAATGTACTTATGGATTCGATTTCATGCCATCCACAGGTAAAATATCTCCCTCTTGCGGTCACATAGAAGCACGGGTATGCAAATAGAAGGGTCCATTTTCATCTCTTAACTCTAGTTGTCTTTGCTGAAGATTGTGTCGTTTTTGTTGTGATTATCATTAAGCCTTGCGGAGTTTTATCACCCGTAAGGTCCATATTAACAGCCCTGCCAAAAGTACTGAGCCAGAATTTTGTATTAATCAACGTTTAGAACGTACTAAAATAATATATGGCGAACCTACCTTCAACAGAGAAAGTGGAAATAGCGCCCTTTTGCACTAGACTGAGTAACCTCAGCGCATGCTAATGGTTAAAAACTACATAAATTAACACATCCTGTCACATATACTACGAAAATAATATGATTATTACTAATCCAGTTTAAAACTGTATTTATTTATTTTTTTTAAATATCCTTTAAATTCTGATACAGTAGAAGTTGTTTCTGTTGATTGAAACTTGAAGCCACCTATGCAAACTTTATCAAATGAGTGCATACAAGCAAACGTTGATAAGCTTTCTTTTTTTTTTGGATAATATTCGAAGAGTGGGTTATTTATTTTTTGTTATTTTATTTTAAATATTCACATTTGTATAAATAGGCCGTGGACCTGTCCTTTAGAATGGCGACTATTTCTTCTATGGACAAGAACCTATGATTTTGTTTCCTGATAAAATGCGTCAAAATTTAAGCCGCTCTCAAACAGTCCGCGTGTGAACCTGACGTCACCATTGTTTACTTTTACCTAGACCACGCCCTCTGTTAGCAACTTGTGGCTAGCTCGGTACCGAGGAAGGCACTGCTCCGAGGGATCTGCTTCAGACACCACCCCGAGTCAAAGACTATCCGCGTGTACATAATTCTGTGAGTAAGCGTTAATTCACCCTAGCGCGTTCACCCATTAAATGAACACAAAATGTAACATTACATGTATTGTTATATTAGCGTGGGGAGCGAAACGAAGAGGAGAGACAGAAACGTTTCTTGCAAGCTAGCGTCAAGACTGCTGTTAGCTTTTGTTGTAGCAGCTACTTTGAAGGAAAATGCTTCCCGCAGTGTTGGCCGTTTTTCTGCCTGTTATTTATTGTTATTAGATAAGGCTAGGTCATGTGTATAGTTAACAAAGCAGACTTTCTAACCTCCCGTTTTCTCCGGATGCGTGTTTTATATTAGCTTATGGCTCAAGTCCTTAACGGAAATCTCAGATTGCAGTGGTGATGTTAACGGATATCGATTCCGTTCTCATTGATAATTACATTGCTTTAATTAACAAAATAATGTCTGTTTCAGATAACGTTTCATATCAGTCTTTTTAAGCTGATATTTTAGGTGTTGGGTGGGTGTTGAAATTTTCGGCTGTGCCCTGCGCTCTGGATGTAGTTAGGCGTGACGCTGAGTTAACTTCAGACAATACAACCTCAGCTTGTTAAATGTGGAATGACTATATTATTAAAACAGTCGTATGTCTTGCACAGACCAGCTTATCGCTTTGAATGCTTATACTTAAGATGGGCAGTCGTGCCTCGTAGACGAAAGCAAACTGAAACCTAGACTTAGCAACTGGTTCAGCTGGTACATGTAAAATGTAATGGGTTAGATTTAAGCGCCTTGTAATTCATTTTAAGTAACAATACTAAGTTAAAATCTACTGTTTGTTTTTGTTGATCTGAAGCTGATGCTAGCAACATTTTCTGGCATAAATGGATAAAAATCCACATTAACCTTTCAGCAAATTGCAATTCATTCGACTGGTCTAAGAGGAAACTAGGTTTCTGCACCACAGCAAGGCTCAATTTTTAGGCTTATAAAATCCACCCCAGGTTTAGCATGAAGATTAAAAGAAAAGTCACTTTAGAAAGTAAGATCCATATGTAAAGGACTACCACCCAGTTCCACCCAGATTCAAATCCACTACAAAATCAAAACTCAGCACTACCTTTTTCTCTCTCGTTTTTTAAGCACATGCATGTGTCTTTTATAGATTTCTCACAGCAGTCTACTAAATATAATTCTGAGAAAATGGGTATCATATAGCTTTCTCAGTATCACTCTTACATAAGTTAACAGTTAAAGAGTATATTATTCAGCTTTAGTTACTGACTTTTACTGATACGACATAGTAGTTCATCCATGGAATTGGTCAAAATATATTCATGTACAGGATTTATTTCTTTATGAAAAGCCCATTTGCAGTGTTTGCTTACATAAAAAAATAGTATTGGTTTTCATTACTAGAAAGTTGCCTTTGAGGCGAGACCAGTAAAAATGAATGCACTTGCTGTTCAGTCCATCTCAAAAATGCTGGCACTACAGCACAGTTGGATGAAATTCTGTTTTGTTGCATGCATAACAAAACTTGTGAGGAAATCACACTATATTCGGCCTGGATTTTAAAACTAAGAGCAACCCCCAACCTTGTTTAAGAAAAAAAAAAAAAAGCTTTTTACTGGAAGCACTGCCCTCTGTCTACAGAGCTAATCCTGAAAGCAGAAGCAAACTTTGGATGTCTCATCAACAGCTGTCTGTTTTAATCAGTTTTGTTTAATGTTATAAATTGTAGGAATTACCTACTTTTTACCAGCAAGTTTTGACTCGTCAGTGAATGACACATCACCACTATTAGACATAGCTTTCTATTCTATGAACCCCCCACGTTTTCAAAGATTTTATTTTTCTAAGCAAGGTGTTGCTACTATTTTGTTCACAACTTTATCTGAGTGTATGTAATCTTATCAGATTGTCTGTCAGATGTTTCCAAAATGTTGACATTGACATTCAGTCGTGCCTAACTGATTGATTTGATTAACAGATTAAACAGACTTGAATATGTGGCTGTGGGTATTGCTGAAAATAATGGCTTTATCCTTGAAGCTGCGTGGTCTGTTTCATTTCGGGTTTTCTGTGTAGCTTTCCATCTGCTTATAGTTGTTTGCCTACTTTATTTATCTTTGTTTATGCTGCTTGGCTTTTGACTCAAACACTCCCAAGCTGTATACATAAAAGCCTACTTGTGCATTGTACTACCTGCCACAGCCGTTTATGGCACCACCTGGTTAATGGTAAATTGTTCCAGAAGGAAGATATGTTTGCACATAAACACGAACCCAGGGCCCCTGTGTTTACAGTAGCCATGGCAGCACTCAGTTATTCAACAAATAGACCTACCGTCCTTCTCTCTCCCTTGTAGAAGAGCGTGTTTGTATTGCAGGGTAGGGCTGTAACAAAGTACTTTTTGACTTTGGTAGAAGTTGAGTTTCTCTAGCATAGTATTAACTGAATTTCCCGGAGGAACCCACCAGAGGGATTAATAAAGTTTCATCTAATCTAATCTAATCTAGTAATTTTAAAGACTGCTGAATACTGCTTAAGTTATCCTGAAGAATGGGCTTCTTATTATCTTGTGAAGTACTAGCTTTGCCAGAGGTGTCCAGACAGTTGCATTCACCTTGTCTGCCCTCCTAAACGTATTATAATGGTTCTCCCCCCCCCCATTTACAGGTCATAGAAGTCCAGATGCATGAGTCTCGGTCAGATCCAACAAGCCACACCATTCAAACAAATCAGACAGAGAACGGGAATCATACTGAGAATGAATGTCGACTGAGGAGTAGCCAAACTCCTCCTCCAGAGGCACCCAGGGTCAGTCACTCTCAGCTGCATTTGTTCAACACATCAGAATATCTATCTATCTATCTATCTATCTATCTATCTATCTATCTATCTATCGATCGACAATATTAATGGATCAGAATTATCCATTAATTAATTTAATTTATTTTCTTTGTTTGTATGTTTGCAATGTGATTTACAGATTAATCTGTAACTTTGCTACATGTGCTGCAGACAGGTCTGAGAGTATGTTAATTAAAGTCAGTGCTGCTTTAATATGTAACTGACCCGATAATTACACTATTTCCAACTATTTTCCCCAAGCAACTTTTTCAGATATATGTAATCAATAAATATACCAATATAGGTCACCAGCTAATGGGTTGGTCTGGATAATTATCTTTGGATATTGCACTGTTAGACCAAAATTTCATTGTACAATGACAATAAAGGGCTATTCTATTCTATTCTATTCTATTCTATTCTATTCTATTCTATTCTATTCTATTCTAACAAGCAAATGACATGGTGATACCACTAAATGTTTCAGAATCTTGATTAAGAGATAATCACTTGTTT